AAGCCTTAGCATTGAATGGTTGTGTTGTTAAAGTGTGCAGTATGGTACCCTGCTCAGACGGTCGGTCAATGGGACTTAAGCAACGTATGCGGCAGGTACTGGCTTGTTTAGTAGACTCTCCTCTACAGTTCCATTTTGGCAGGAAGCCTTAGCATTGAACGGTTGTGTTGATAAAGTGTGCAGTATGGTACCCTGCTCAGACGGTCGGTCAATGCAACTTAAGCAACGTATGCGGCAGGTACTGGCTTGTTCAGTACACTCTCCTCTACAGTTCCATTTTGGTGGGAAGCCTTAGCATTGAACGGTTGTGTTGCTAAAGTGTGAAGTATGGAACTCTGTGCAGACAGTCGGTCAATGCGACTTAAGCAACGTATGCAGCAGGTACTGGCTTGTTCAGTAGACTCTCCTCTACAGTTCCCTTTTGGCGGGAAGCCTTAGCATTGAACGGTTGTGTTGTTGAAGTGCAAAGTATGGAACCCTGCGCAGAGGGTCAGTCAATGCGACTTAAGCAACATATGCGGCAGGTGCTGGCTTGTTCAGTAGACTCTCCTCCCCTACAGTTCCATTTTGGCAGGAAGCCTTAGCATTGAATGGTTGTGTTATTAAAATGCGAAGTATCATTTCTGCGTTTGATTTATCAAAATATTCCCATTCAAACCCAAGTAACGAAGGTGGAGGCATTACTTTTCATTAAAACTTTGTATAATCATCATCATCATCATCATCATCAAGAACAACAACATAATCATCAACAACAACAAGGCTCCTGAGGTCTGGCCAAGCCTTTAGGTGGAGGTGCTAGCACTTCTGGGGCCCCCAATGGCAACCTTTGATGTGGCCCCTTGCTTGGTGTGGGATTCAGGATGGGGTCATTTGTAACTGGAAGCTGGATATTGCAGAATTGCAGACCAGCCCATGCCTTACAATCACGTTGTGCACTCTGCAAGATCAGTTCTTATTTATTACTAGCCGTCCCCTGCCACTCGTTGCTGTGGCCCACATGGGGGTTCTGTGTGGGACGTTTGGCCCAATTCTATCCTTGGTGGGGTTCAGAATGCTCTGTGATTGTAGGTGAACTACAAATCCCAATCACAACTCCCAAATGTCAAGATTCTATTTCCCCTAAACTCCACCAGTGTTGACATTTGGGCATATTGAGTATTCTTGTAGAGTTTGGTCCATCATTGATTGAGTCCACAGTGCTCTCTGGATGTAGGTGAACTACAACTCCAAAACCAAAGGACACTGCCCACCAAACCCTTCCAGTATTTTCCGTTGGTCATGGGAGAACTATGTGCCAAGTTTGGTTCATTTCCATCGTTGGTGGGGTTCAGAATGCTCTTTGATTGTAGGTGAACCAGAAATCCCAACCACTACAACTCCCAAATGTCAAGATTCTATTTCCCCTAAACTCCACCAGTGTTGATATTTGGGCATATTGAGTATTTGTGTAGAGTTTGGTCCAGATCCATCATTGTGTGAGTCCACAGTGATCTCTGGATGTAGGTGAACTGCAAGTCCAAAACCAAAGGACACTGCCCACCAAACCCTTCCAGTATTTTCTGTTGGTCCAAGTCTGCTTCAATTCCATTGTTGGTGGGGTTCAGAATGCTCTTTGATTGTAGGTGAACTATACATCCCAGCAACTACAACTCCCAAATGACAAAATCAATGTTTTTTTGAGTGAAGGACAGACATTGGGTGAAGGACAGACATCCTAAGGGTTCCTATCGCTGCCTCATTGCACAATCCCAAAGGCTCATTCCCACAGCCACGTTTTTACCATCCTTCTAAAGGACAAGAGGGAAGGGGCTGAACTGATCTCATTAGGAAGGGAGTTCCATAGCTGAGGGGCCACCACTGAGAAGGCCCCGTCTCTCATCCCCACCAAACACGCCTATGAGAGCAGGGACTCCCCAGAAGATCTTAATCTCCGCAGTAGTTCATAGGGGGAGATGCGTTCGGACAGGTAAATTGGGGAAAATTAGGCTGCAAACATGTGGTACCATCATACATGCTTGTGTAGCAGTCTGGTCAGCTCTGCCATAGAGTGATAGGATGCACATTCAGTCTTGCAATCCATGAACAAGATGGCGTCATGAGCTATGTGTCTCTGTCTCATTGAGGTAGAGCTTCATACTCTGCTTTCCACTTAGTCACCAGACAATTGGATATGTTTCTGCCAACGATGAACATGTTTTCTTAATATCTCTCTTTGCCCCCAATATGACAGCGCCATAGCAAAGCATGCGGGGCCCAAGCTGCCCTTGATCGTGAAGCACCTCTCCCCGATGCTCAACAGTCTCTACGACAGCCAGCGGCTGACCACCACTGCCTTCTTCGCAGAGGTCAGTTGCAGGGTCTTGTGGGGGTGGTCATGGAGCGGTCAAGCTCAAGGACTGCTCGTAGCCCTCAGATCGTGAACTTGGCTTCGTGAGTCTCTCTTGAGCTCCTTCCTCTCCTCTCTTCCAGCTTCTGGGCAGCAACGTGGTCAATGACCTGGTCCTCTTGGAGTCCATGATGGACAGCATGACCACCCGGCAGAGGGACTCCTGCAACGCCGTCCGCATGCTAGCCCTCCGGGGCCTGGGCAACATCGCCTCGGGAGCACCGGAGAAGGTGAGCTCCGCTGGACTGGAAACAGTCCGTTCAAAAGGGGGCTTAGTGGACCACAAGCTGAACAGGAGCCAGTGGTGAGATGTGGTGGTGGAACCATTCCAGGCTTCATTAATAGGAACATCATGCCTGAAATTATGACCCTGTGTCCAGTTCTAGGCAAAGCAATTCAAGGAGAAAGAATCCTAGAATTCTTCTCTGTTTCCCCTTCCTTTCCAACCTGACCAGCTTGGCGGGCGGCCCCTCGGCTGCAATAAAAGGCCGGTGTAGTGAAATTGCTACTCTATGTTAAAGTTTTGGTGTATAGCTCTATGTTTACATATGGCAGATAGGAAAGAATAGGCACAGACAGAGATAGGGTTCATTTGCATATGTGAAACCGATTGGTCATAATGCAGATTAGTGTAGGCCCAGGATTTGAAAAGGCTGCTAGGCCAAAATGACAGTTGTGGAGAGCAGAGCTGAACTTTCCAAAGGGGCGGAGCTAAGGTTCTGAAAGAGGCAGTTAGAGAGTGAGGGAGTTTGAAAATGACAGTTAGGAATCTGTGTGTGAAGAGGAAAGTTGGTTTTTGAGTGCCTGATAGAAACAAGCAGTTATGAAGATGTGTTAAAAGACTTCTGATATAGAGAAGCAGTTAGTTAAATAGAGCTCGAGTTTTAAGGAACATAAAGAAGGCTAGTGTTGTCTTAGTTCAGAATATAATTCAGCCAAGAGTGTGTAAAGCAAGTAACATGTTTGTAAATGTGAAACATTGATAGTTTATTCAGAAAAGTTAAACAGGTACATGATACTGACTGTAAGCCTCAAGATTGCAACAAAACACAAATGTAACCACAAACGTTGGAGCCAGAAGTTATAAATAAACTGTGTTACTTCGTTATAAACAAGAGTGTTTTATTGCCTGTGATATAAAGTACAAAGGCTTAACAGCACACAGAAAGTCCCAGCCAATATAAAAGAAGAAACTGAATCAGTATACGGCAGCAAAGAGGTTTTTAATAAGGAAATAGTCTCTCTCCCTCGCCTCAGCCGGCCTTCTGTTCTCTGCAGGTGCGGAAGCACGGGGCCCAGCTCCTGGCCTCCATGATGAACGGCATGGACGACAAGGAGGACCCGCACCACTCGGTGGCCCTGGAGGCCATGTCCAGCCTCTCCAAGCTGCTGGCCCTCATGGAGGAGAGGGACGTCCGCTCCATGCTGCTCCACGTCGCCATACGCATACGGCCCTTTTTCGACAGCGTAAGCAGGGAGAGGGAAGCAGATAAGAGTCCAGATTTCATTTCAGATTTAACTTCAGCAATTCCTTCTGAAACTATAACTACTTGTGACCACCTTTTCCCCACCTTTCAAGCAAAGTCTTGATGGCCATCTGTCGGGAAGGCTCAGATGGTGTCTCCCTGCCTCCTTTCCTGGGCTGCATGAGCTTAGGAACCAAGGCTAAAGGCAACATTTGTTGGTGTTTCATATACACCTCATGCACACACTGTGAAGATCATTTTGTGTACATTTTTGTGTGTGAAACAAAATTTTGTGTACATTGAACCCCCAGAATGCGAACCGGTCACTTTGGGTTTTGGGATCATAGAATTGGAAGGGACCACTAGAAGCCATCTAGTCCAGCTTCTTTCTGCCAGGCAGGGAGACACCATCTAAGCCCTCCCCATAGATGACCATCCCACCATAGATATAATAGATATCATTGGAATACATACATGCACATGCACATATACCTCTCTCACTATCTATCTATCTATATAAATAAAAATATAATGTTCGCTTGTGGGATTAACATAACACAAAAACCACTGGACAAATTGACACCAAATTTGGACACAAGACACCCATCAGGCCAATGTGTGACCATCACTCATAAAAAGACTGAAAAACACAGCAAAGGGGACTTAAAAAGCCAAAAATCAAAAAATACATTACAATGTATGCGCAAAACTTCATATGTACACATATGCACATATATGCACATTTGCACAAATATATACACACACATATACGCATATATATATACACACAAAACATATACACAGGCTGGGTTATAGTAACGCGTGGCAAGAGACAGCTAGTATGTACACACACACACACACAAATATATATAAATAAAAATGTAATGTTCGTTTGTGGGATGAACAGAACTTAAAAACCACTGGGCGAATTGACACCAAATTTGGACACAAGACACCTAACAACCCAATGTATGTCCTTCGCTCAAAAATTATTGATTATGTCATTTGGGAGTTGTAGTTGCTGGGATTTATAGTTCACCTACAATCAAAGAGCATTCCGAACCCCACCAACAATAGAATTGAACCAAACTTGGCACACAGTTCTCCCGTGACCAACAGAAAATACTGGAAGGGTTTGGTGGGCAGTGTCCTTTCGTTTTGGAGTTGTAGTTCACCCACATCCAGAGATCACTGTGGACTCAAACAATGATGGATCTGGACCAAACTCGGCACGAAGACTCAATATGCCCAAATGTGAACAGTGGTGGAGTTTGGGGAAAATCGAATCTTGACATTTGGGAGTTGTAGTTTCTGGGATTTATAGTTCACCTTCAATCCCAGAGCATTCTGAACCCCACCAAACCTCCTACACAGAACCCCCATGTGGGCCACAGCAACGCGTGGCAGGGGACGGCTAGTGTGTGTATATATCTCTATCTATCTATCTATCTATCTATCTATCTATCTATCTATCTATACACATACACACACATGCACGCACACACACACACACACACACACACACACACTCCTATCAGGCCAATGAGTGACCAGTAATCATAAAAACACTGAAAAACACAGCGGAAGAAACTTAAAAAGCCAAAAAAGCACAAAGATGCTACAGCGCATGCGCAAAACCACATATATGCACATGTACACAAATACACACACACACATATACAGATACAAAACACATATACACAGACTGTGCCACATCAATGCATGGCAAGGGACAGCTAGTATATGTGTATGTGATATAGCATAGAATCCTAGAAGGAGGACTCTCAAAGACCATCCAGTCCAACCCCCTTCTGCCAGGCAGGAAGACATCATCCAAGCCCTCCCAACAGATAGCCATCCAGCCTCTGCTTGAAAGCCTCCAATGCCAGAGAGCCCTCCACCCTCAAAGGCAACACCTTCCTCTGTTGAACACCTCTGACCATCAGGAAGTTCTCCCTGGGCGGAATCTCTTTTCCCGCCACCTGAATCCATTGCTCCGTTGTGTCCTTGCAATGGAAGCAAGTGGCAGGAGGCTGTCACTAAGGAGGCTGTCCAAACCCTGAACCGGTGCTTGGCCGCTGTGTCGGACTGGATCAGAGCTAACAAATTGAAATTGAATCCAGACAAGACAGAGGTCCTACTGGTCAGTCGTAAGGCCGAACAGGGTATAGGGTTACAGCCTGTGTTAGACGGGGTCACACTCCCCCTGAAGATTCAGGTTCGCAGCTTGGGAGTGATCCTGGACTCATCGCTGAGCCTGGAACCCCAGGTCTCAGCGGTGGCCGGGAAAGCTTTTGCACAATTAAAACTTGTGCGCCAGCTGCGCCCGTACCTTGGGAAGTCTGATCTGGCCACGGTGGTCCACGCTCTTGTTACATCCCGGTTAGATTACTGCAACGCACTCTACGTGGAGTTGCCTTTGAAGACTGTTCGGAAACTTCAACTAGTCCGGCGGGAGGCAGCCAGATTAGTCACCGGAGCGTCATACAGGGAGCATACCACCCCTCTGCTATGTCAGCTCCACTGGCTACCGATCCAGTTCCGAGCACAATTCAAAGTGCTGGTTTTGACCTACAAAACCCTATACGGTTCCGGCCCAGTGTATCTGTCCGAACGTATCTCCCTCTACGTCCCACCTCAGAGTTTAAGATCTTCTGAGGGGGCCCTGCTCTCGGCCCCACCTCTATCACAAGTGAGACTGGCGGGGACGAGGAGCAGGGCCTTCTCGGTGGTGGCCCCTCACCTGTGGAATTTGCTCCCTGGGGAAATTAGGTCATCGACATCCCTCCTCTCTTTCAGAAGGAAATTAAAAACATGGATCTGCGACCAGGCCTTTGGGTAATCTGGCAGATAGACAAAGAACTAGTGACGACAACTGATGGACTTGACTGTGTGGAACTGAATTTATGAACTCTGAGTTGGCAAACGCTGTGCATTAGATTCGTTTTATAGATTTTGAGGACGTGATGTTTTCGATGTGTGATGTATAATGGACTGTTTTAATTGTTTTAATTACTGTTTACATATGTTTATTTTTACCTTGTTTTGTGCCGGCATCGAATTGTGCCTTTTGTAAGCTGCCCTGAGTCCCCCCTCGGGGGTTGAGAACGGCGGGATAGAAGTGCAAGAAATAAAATAAAAGGGATTCTGGGCTTCACGATGCTCGCTCTCTCTCTCTTCTTCCGGCTCCTTTCCACGTGTCTGCTTCCTCCGCAGGAGAGGCCTGAGCTGCGCCGCTCGTCGGTGGTCCTCTTTGGGAACCTGACCAAGTTCAGTGCCGGGAGCAGCGAGGACGCCTTCTTCGAGCAGATCCTCAACGGCCTGGTGACGCTTCTCCTCCACCTGCAGGACCCCAAGCCTGAGGTCATCAAGGTGGGCACCCGGACCGCAATTGAGGGGTCATCAAGGTGGGCACCCGTGATCCGCAATTTGAGGGGTGTGTGCCGTTATTAATGACTTAGATGAAGGGCTAGAAGGCAGGATCATCAAGTTTGCAGACGACACAAAATTGGGAGGGAGAGCCAATACTCCAGAGGACAGGAGCAGGATTCAAAACGATCTTGACAGATTAGAGAGATGATGGGCCAAAACTAACAAAATGAAGTTCAACAGTGACAAATGCAAGATACTCCACTTTGGCAGGAAAAACGAAATGCAAAGATACAAAATGGGGGACAATGAGGCCTGGCTCGAGAGCAGGACGTGTGAAAAAGGTCTTGGAGTCCTCGTGGACAGGAAGGTGAACATGAGCCAGGAATGTGATGTGGTGGCAAAAAAAGCCAATGGGATTTTGGCCTGCATCAATAGGAGCATAGTGTCTAGATCTAGGGAAGTAATGCTACCCATGCTCTATTCTGCTTTGGTTAGACCACACCTGGAATATTGTGTCCAATTCTGGGCACCACAATTCAAGAGAGATATTGACAAGCTGGAATGTGTCCAGAGGAGGGCAACTAAAATGATCAAGGATCTGGAGAACAAGCCCTATGAGGAGCGGCTTAAGGAGCTGGGCATGTTTAGCCTAAAGAAGAGAAAGCTGAGAGGAGATATGATGAGGGCCATGTATACACATGTGAGAGGAAGCCACAGGGAGGAGGGAGCAGATCAAGGGTCTGGAGAACAAGCCCTATGAGGAGCGGCTTAAGGAGCTGGGCATGTTTAGCCTGAAGAAGAGAAGGCTGAGAGGAGATATGATAGCCATGTATAAATATGTGAGAGGAAGCCACAGGGAGGAAGGGAGCAGATCAAGGGTCTGGAGAACAAGCCCTATGAGGAGCGGCTTAAGGAGCTGGGCATGTTTAGCCTCAAGAAGAGAAGGCTGAGAGGAGATATGATAGCCATGTATAAATATGTGAGAGGAAGCCACAGGGAGGAGGAGGGAGCAAGCTTGTTTTCTGCTTCCCTGGAGACTAGGACGCAATGGAGCACAATGGCTTCAAACTACAAGAGAGGAGATTCCATCTGAACATGAGGAAGAACTTCCTGACTGTGAGAGCCGTTCAGCAGTGGAACTCTCTGCCCCGGAGAGTGTGGTGGAGGCTCCTTCTTTGGAAGCTTTTAAACAGAGGCTGGATGGCCATCTGTCGGAGGTGATTTGAATGCAATATTCCTGCTTCTTGGCAGAATGGGGTTGGACTGGATGATGGCCCAGGAGGTCTCTTCCAACTTTTTGATTCTATGATTCTATGATTCCATCCCTTCCTTCCTTCCTCCTTTCCAGGCCTGCAAGTTTGCGCTGCGCATGTGCGGCCCCAGCATGGGCTGCCCGGGCCTCTGTGACATGTTCCAGAACCACCTCCACGAGGACCGTGGCCTCCATTACGGCGAGTTCATGAACGACGTCTGCAAGCACCTGGTGAGGCGCGGAGAGGGGCACGGAACTTAGACCGCAGTCATTGAGAGGGAAGGGCCTGGTGAGCGTCACCAACCCAAAGGTCCAGATTAAAAACTCACCCTAAGCCAGTGGTTCTCAACCTTCCTCGTGCCCCGACCCCTTAATACAGTTCTCATGTTGTGGTGACCCCTAACCATAACAGTTTTTAACCACAACACAGTTTTTAACCATAACCATAACATTATTTTTGTTGCCACTTCAGAACTGTAATTTTGCCCCTGTTACGAATAGTAACGCAAATATCTGATTTGCTAGATGTATTTTCATTCACTGGACCAAATTTGGCACAAATACCTGATGCACCCAAATTTGAATACTGGTGGGGTTGGGGGAGGTTAATGTTGTCATTTGGGATTTATAGTTCATCTACAACCCAGGAGCATTTTGAACTCCACCAAGGATGGAATTGAACTTGGCACACAGAACTTCCATGACCAACAGAAAATACTGGAAGGGTTTGGTAGGCATTGACCTTGAGTTTTGGAGTTGTAGTTCACCTACATCCAGAGAGCACTGTGGACTCAAACAATGATGGATCTGGACCAAACTTGGCACGAATACTCAATATGCCCAAATGTGAACACTGGTGGAGTTTGGGGAAATAGACCTTGACATCTGGGTGTTATAGTTGCTGGGATGTATAGTTCACCTAGAGCAAAGAGCATTCTGAACCCAACCAACAATAGA